TCCCTTAAACTAACCCAATTTTTATCCATATCTCCCTTATTAAGGCTTGTTTCTATTGTTCTCTTTCAGGTACTTTCTTTTCCTTTACCTCCCTGTTTCCTTTCCATTATCCTCGTTCCTCTAGTTATGTCTGGGTACATACTCACCTGTGAGTGTTTGGTTCTAGGATCCACATATGAGAGAGAATATATGTCGATTTTTTTTCTCAGTCTGTGTTACTTCACTTAGTATAACAGTTTCTAGTTCCATCCATTTACCTGAAAGTTTCATGATTTCATCTTTCTTTACTGCTGAGTAAAACTCCATCGTATAAATAAACTACATTTTCATTATCCACTCGTCAGTTGAGGGACACTTAGGTTGCTTCCATCTCTTAGGTATTATGAAAAGAGCAGCAATTGATTGGTAAATTTATTCTTAGTTTTTATTCTTTAAAATAAATTTAAAATAATATTTTATTTATTATTTTATGTGTATGAGTATATTGCCTGCATGGATGTGAGTGCACCTATGTCATGCAGTGCTGTGGAGGTCAGAAGAGGGCATCAGATTCCCCTGGAACTGGAGTTAAGGATGGTTCGTAGCCTCCATGTGGGTGCTGGGAATCGAACCTGGGTCCTCTGCAAGAACAGTCAGTTCTCTTAACCACTGAGCCATCTCTCCAGCCCCAAGAATTTTATTATTGGGTGTATGATGTATGTAAGTGTGGAGGCTAAATGGCAAGTTTGAAGAATTGATTCTGTCCTTCTGCCACAGGCTCTGGGGATCAGACTCATGTTGCTTTGCCCACCGGGCTCTCTCTGATCCTATTTTTTAGTCTTTTTTCTTTATTATTATTTTTTTAATTATGTTACTGCTATTTTTTTTCTTTTTTTCTTTCCTCTGTTGTGGATTGATAGTTTCCTCCTATTGGTTTAGAAGTCATACATTCTGTTCTTTTTTATGGTGATTCTTAATTTTTTAAATCTGCATTTGAGTTAATGGACTTTTTAAATAGGTCAATATTGTTATCATTCCCCGAATAAAACAGGTCTTAAAGTTATCTGTGCTGGTTTTGGTTTTGGTTTTGCAGTGTTGGGGATGGTAGGCAGGCACTGTCCCACTTAAGCCACATCCCCAGGTCTACTCTCATTTTTATTTATTTATTTTTAAAAATATTTTATTTATCATTTTTATTTTAGGTGTATAAGTGTTATGCCTGCATGTAGATAAGTGCATCCGTGTCGTGCAATGCTCGAGGACAGAAGAGGCTGTCGGATCCCCTGGAACTGGAGTTACAGACAGCTGTTTA